TTTTTATTATAAAATTACTATGACAAATTCTTTTAATAAATTGATCGACAAAATTTTAAAAATCTTAAATAGTGGGCCAATCATATAGTGCTGTCCTATGATAGTAAATCATTTAGTATCTAACACCCCAATGACTAGGCCGAGTCGGAAATGGTCGGTGAGGCGAAATCGCGACATTTTTTCGTCATGACTAATCTCCACGCGACTAATCTATTCAAATGCGAAATGCTGCGGCAGTGGACATATGAAATGCGAAGTGCTGCGGCAGTGGACATATGAACTTCGGGGCTGCCCTGGGTAATCGTTTCACCCTGTCGTTATATTTAAAGCAGGCTATACTTAATTAAGCTAAATACAGGTTAATATGTAGCTTTTTCATCAAGGCGGCAATTGTTTCGATCAGGGTAGAGTTGTACGTTTAGCCGTCTTTGGCTTGTCCAAAGCTAACTCTAAACTAACACTACATAACTTTTAGGGAATTACGTTTGTATAATAATTCTCACGTGTTTATGTGTGACATTAAAGCCATCTTTTTTCCTTATCGCATAACCCCATAATTATCATCTTTACACTTAGAATTGTATTTTATTTTTCGTGATTAATTTATCACGATTATAGAGTTCCTGAATCTATATAGGATCATTCTTTAAAATTTTGCATTATCTTATTCGATTAAGAGATCAGCGTCTCTGGCGTTTGCAGCTTTCTTTGGTCATCTTTTAAACAAATCAATTCACGAAAATGAGTGGGTTAACTAGTTCACTCAATACAGAGCTCTTAGCTCTCGCTGGCGAATCTAAACGTAGAAATCCAGAAATCAAAGAAGTAATTTTTTTTTGTAAATTCCTTGTTGCTTGCAAAAGCTTGCTTAATTCAATTTTGTTTCAAATGTAAAAGGCTGCAGAAAGATCGGTCAAAATTTTGAAAACGCTCAAGCAAGGGGTTGATTTACCGCAAGGTAATGTGCATTTATTCATCCAATTTCATACTAATTTATAATCATGGCATATTTATTAATAACTTCTTTTTTTTTAAAAAAAATAGAACTAGCAAAAAACGCTGATTTTTTGCGTCCATTTCTGCTTGCTTGCGAAACAAAACATGTTAAATTGATCACTATATCTATAGGTTGTCTTCATAAATTAATATCCCATCGCGCTGTTCCTGAGGTGAGAGCATGTCTTGTCACTTTTTAGGGTACTGTATTGTAATCATTATTACCAATAGATCTTCTTTGATTTAGAATGCTGTACTTTTATTAGTCTTCTGTAAAAACAATTCTCAAGACCCTTAATGACGTTTTATCGCAAAGCGTTGAAATTCAGCTCAAGATTTTGCAGACCATCCCTCCATTGTTGAGTAATTATAAAGCGTTGCACGGAGACCTTCTGGCTGAGGTGACTAATCTTTTATTCATATATTCTATTGCAAATATTTAAGTATTATAAAATGTTAATTGTTTTGCTGATTTTTAAATTTGATTTTTGTAGGCTTTACTAATTTGTTTTCGACTCCAAGATTCAAAAGTTTTGGTTGTCAATAACACTGCTGCTGCTACCCTGCGCCAATTGGTGATCAATATTTTTGAAAAAGTTCAAGAGGAAGATGAAATAAACGATAAAAATGGTATATATATATATTTGTTTTCTATTCCTTTAATATTTAATTTATCTGAATGAAGTTTGTTATCATTATTGATACACGCTTGTAATTAATTGTGTCGGAAGGATCAATACAACCCACATCTACTGTAATATCTATTAAGGGAAAAGGCAACATTCCACTTCGCCCTTGTGCTAGAGATGCTTATAATCTCTTTCAAGATCTATGCTTATTGACTAATTCTGAGCAACCAATGTTTCTTAGATTACATAGCTTATCAAAGACATTTGGCTTGGAATTGATAGAGTCTGTACTGACAAATCATTCGAAATTATTTAAACCGGTAGTTAATTTTACTAATACTAAATTCGTGTATGAGGTGAGTCAGTAGAAACGCGCCAAATCGTTTTCTAAGTGAATTGTTTTGAAACTTTTAAACAATAATAACTCAACAAAAACAGATTTTAATAAAAAATTAATTCTAAAAATCCGAATAATTCATTTAAAAAGATTTTATCGAATTTTCCAAGTTTTGTTATTATGTTTAAATTTTAAATTAATTACCAAGGAAAATTTGGTGTATTTCTACTGTGTCACCCCATATGTTAAATTTTTTTTTTTTAAAAAAAAAATGCTAACATATATTCCTGTTAATAGCATCAAGAATTCATATATTTACTTCGGGAGCGTGTCTGCCCTTTAATTAATAAAAGTTTTGCTGATAAAACTGACTTTCCGATTACAATGCGACTAATGCGACTTGTCTATATATTACTTAAGCAATTCAGCGATATTTTGGTAAACATTTATTCTTGTGCTTTTATTTTCTGTTTTATTATCTGTACACGAATTCGTGACAATAAAGTGGCAAACTTTACTATTATGATTTTTATGAAAGGTGACTGAGTGTGAAATATTCCTTGCCATGTTTGTTAAGAACCTCGAACCTGACAATGTACCTTGGCAGCGAGTTATTTCAATGGAAATATTTCGCGGAATTTGTTGTGATAGTGCACTTTTGCGTTCAGTTTACCGCTGGTATGATGGACAAGGACATTCCGCTAATGTATTTAGAGATATGCTAAATGCTTTTGGCAGATTGGCTACAGAGAAGCCTACGCTAATTGGACATTTGTATCAAGGTAGAGAAAGCATGGATATGTCAGGAATGGCTGGTGTGGTAATGGGAGGAGTTGGACAAGGTGATTCTCACGGGCTTAGTATTGTAACTTCTGTAATGAAAATCCAATGGTATGTAATCATTATTTTTTCAATATAAAAAGATGGCTACTATTGTTGCTTATTCTTTATATACATATTGTATAAAGTATTGATCAATTAGATAAAGCTGACCCACCACAAATACCGGAAACATATCTTTATTATCTTGCTTTTGTATGCCTTAATTCTATTGCTGATGGTCTACACAATTTTGTCTCGTCAATTTTTGCCGACGCTATACAAAAACAGCAGCACGATGAATCGCAGAAAATTTCCACTACACAGCAGCAATCGATATTTGGAAATACCACACTACAACAACTCAAATCACATCCAGAATATGAAGAAGTTTTGCTCGTTGCAGAAATGGCAAATACTGCATGGCCTGGGTTACTTGCGGCACAATCATTTTTCCTTACAGCGAATATTGACGAAGAGCTGTTTCAAGGTGTTTTACGCGCGTATCAAAACTTTACCATTGTATGTGGTGTGCTTCGGCTTTCTACGCCATGCGATGCCTTTTTGACGAGCCTATGCAAAGGTGCCGTTCCTCCTAGTGTAATTGCTGCATATGTGGCAGAAAGCAAAGCAGCTCATAATAGTGGGAGTGCAACTGGTTCCAGTTATGATGGTACGGTAATGGTCACATTATCTGATAGAAATTTATCTTGTCTCAAAATATTATTGAACATTGCACAGTATCTTGGTGGTGTCTTGGATGATTCTTGGTATTTGGTGCTGGAAACGTTACAATTAGCAGACTTTATAATATTTCCTAAGCATGCCAGAGGTGGATCTAGAGCTCCCCGTAAAGTTAATTCCTCAACATCATCTTTGTCTTCTCCACAAACTGCTGGCAGTAGTTCATCATCACTCGCTCAATCTGTGTCAACTGCTCCAGTAAAAAGACCTTATTCAGGGATTATGAATTTTTCCATTCAAACTCCTGTACAGTCTTCTCAATCTGGGTCATCTGCGGCTAATTCAGTCCCTCAACAAACGGCTATGGAAAATGATTTAAATATCTTGCTGATACAAATAAAAAAATTATTTGACAACTGCAAACTTCTTGATGATTCTGCTATACAATTTTTCACTAGAGCATTATGCAAGTTAAATGCTTACACCTACGGTATTCCCTTAGCTAGTGAACTTTCCGAAAATGGTCATGGAGCAACGTTGGTAGAAGGTAAAACGCCAAAATCTTCTCCATTAAGTAATCTGCGCGGGAATGTAAGTATATCTAGCAATTTTTTGATTTATTTGCGGGTTATAATTGTATTTAAATTTCATTTTAAATATAGAAAACGGATGAGAAGTCCTTTGCTATTGACAAGTTGCGTTCCGTTTCACTCTCAAATATACATCGCCTTATCGCACGAGAACCTACACTTATTTGGGATCTAATTGTTTCTAATTTAATAACAACTGCAAATTATATATCGACTCCGCAACAAGTTCGTATGCAAGCTTGTGAAGCCTTGTCAGATATTATTATTACATCTATGAGTTACACAAGTTCAGCGCAAATGGGAAGTGATGAACGTATTCAAATGCAATTGCTTACTTCATTGAGTCATTTAGTGAATGATCCAGAAAGAGCATCTAGAGGTTATAGTAAAGGATTTTATGTAGAAGTTCAAAAAATGGGATTGGAAACCCTGAACAAATTATTACAAACATCTGGACATTCGTTTGCGTTCGGGTGGGGTATGATTTTTGATATGATAAAAAGTGTATGCGCAATAAATGTTTCCGGTGAAATAGGAGACGATGAAGGTGATGCTGTAAGTGTGGAAAATGTTGGTATAATTGATGGATCATTCGGTGTATCCAACTCTAAATCTTCTGGATTGGTTCGTGTAGCATTTCCCTCCTTACAATTAATATGCACGGATTTCTTATCATTATTATCTCCTGAATGGTTAAAACAATGCATTAATACGCTGGGAGCATATGGCCTGCAAATGGACGATTTGAATATTAGTTTATCAGCCATTGGGCTTTTATGGAATGTCTCTGATTTTATACAAACTAAACGCGCGGATCTTGAAAATGCTTCTAAGAAGCACAACGAAGATGACGAAGATGTCAATGCCATAACAAAAAATGCAGTTATTGAGCAAGAAATCGAACGAATCATCAAAGGTGATTTGACATCCCATACTATGAATGCACTTTGGATGTTATTATTGATACAACTTTCGAGAATCTGTTCTGATTCTCGTCCGGAAGTCCGTAATGGAGCCAATCAAACTTTATTCCGCACCATTGACATGAACGGTTCAGTTCTAGACATTCAAACTTGGCATACGTGTATTTGGCAGGTATTGTTTCCACTACTGAATTCGGTCAAACTTGTTTCAGAAAAAGTTGTTAAGGCTACGCAACAACAACAACAACAAAGCCCAAATTCCGAAAAATCTACATCACAAAAGGAATTTAATAGTTTTATGGTTCATCATTCGAGGAATACCGTTGACAAGCAATGGGATGAAACTAAGGTATTGGTTTTGACTGGAATGTCCGGAATATTTAAAAACTTTGTACCAATATTAGTAGATTTAGATGATTTTAAACAAGTGTGGGGATTGTTTCTTTCACATTTGCAAGATTATTGTTTACATTCTAGTAATGAAGTTGCGATTGCTGCTGTTAAATCTTATCACACAATTATTCAATTTCCTAAAGATGAGTCTCATACTGATCAATTAAAGAAGAGGATTTTACCACATTGGCAAACAGCATGGATTGTTTGGGAAACAATAGGTTTGGGCATTATAACGATGTCAGACAGAAGAACTCATGATGTTGATATGGATAATGGAAGTTTATTATTGTCTGAAACGTTAGAATCACCTGTCTCATCGCAGTTTACCCAAGATACTCTCACTGCCTATGTTATTGCTTTTGGAGATCTTTATAATGTTATTAATCTTGATTTTGGGATTGACGAAATTAAAAGATTTTTGAAGGTTATTTATGGAGTATTGACCTATCCGAATAGTCCGTCGTATAGACCAGATTATGATTATCTCACTCCTTTACAAGAAGCTGTATTGAATGTTGTAGGACAAATTGACTTAGATGTATCGGGCGCTCCCGCAGTAGTTTTAAGTGATTTTGCAGATTATATTACTTTGGCTTTCACAAATCAATATCGGATTGAAGAAGCATCTGAAATTCCAAAGAACAAAAAAGAACAAATATCCACAAAGGGTGTTAAAGTATCAAATAAAGAAAGCGTATCATCTAAAAAATCCCCAACAGTTACCTATATTGTTTTTTCAAAGACTGCTATGCGTACAGTAAATGATTTGTTTAAAAAGTTTGTGAAAGATCAAGGAGTTTACGCGGAAGGTGTTTTTAAGAAAATAATTTGGGTAAGTTTTTTAATTTATATGTATATATTTGTTAATTGTATTAAAACTAATAATAATTTTTGTTTTCAAATACTATAGGCATACGGTATACCTATGAAAATGAAATATGACTGTCCACCATCTGGAAAGCACGTAACCGACATCGAACTTTGGAAAATCGCTGCTAACGCGTTTTTAGATGTTGTAAAAGAAGGTTTGATTGCATTAGAAAGTTTTGGCGAAGGTATTTACTTATTATTCTTTATTACATCATTACAAGATTGTTAACACGCCTTCGTTACAGCCATTTCAGATGAATGCTTCGTAGATGTATGGAAACAATTATCTAGCGTTCTTCATGGCGCGCTAATAACTGTCGGGTATTCTAAATTATTAAAATAACACAACTTTTGGCATATCTATGTGATTTAAGATTAATTTAGTTACGTTATTGTTAGAAAACCTCCTCCTACTATAAATTTAGAGCAGCAAGACACAAATGAAGCATTCGACATGAAATTTCTCTTTAACCTTCAGACAGATGTGATAATTCATATGGGTTGCCCTCGTGTCCCACAAACTCTTATACGTGAGATTGTTGAAACACTGCGAGAGGGGTCACAATTATATTCCACTGATATTGAAAGACAAGAAGCAGCTAACGGACATCTAAATAAAATTTCGACAACGTCCAACATTGAGAGAACAGCACATGCCAAACAATTAGAAAAGGTTGAAGGAGTAACAGCAACAATAATCCCAGTAGCACGAGAACGGTTTGCGTATGCTTCTTTGCAATGTTTGTTCGATCTATGTTCTGCTGAATACGAAGGTATACATAATTCGATTCCTATCTCTTTTTTTTTTTTTTTTTTTTATTCCATTTATATACATTCATGTATCTTTTTTATAATAGATAACTTTTCGGTACGGCAGCGGATAGCAGAAGTTGCCGCCCCCATTTTATTAGAGCGATGTGCGTCAGTAATCCGAAATTATACAGCTGATCAACCCTTATCGGGCAAATTTCCGTTCCCAAGGTCTGTTTTGTGATTTAGTTGATATCTGACCATTTTTATTTTTTATTTTATTTATTTTTTTTTTGGAGTAAATTTCATGTTTAGCGGATTGGTTAATACTACACGATTTACAAACATTTAGCCTTTCTTCCAGGGTACGGAATGATGAAATACTGTTAATCTTACAACAACTAGTCAAGTTACGGTTTCGAAAAAATATTATACGTTTTGAGGAAGAAGAATCAGCTAGTGAGTATTTGATGTTAAATATTTTATTTTATTATTACTTTACTTGACCTGTATTTGCATAAATAATTTTAGATCCTATAACAAAACAAATTTTATCTGGACCAATTGCGCATTTATTTTATTTATATCCGGTGATATGTGATGCTATTTCTTTACCGGATGAAAATATTTTGACCTTTTTGAAAGAATGCTTAAAAAAGGTTGGAGAAGAACTAGGTGTATATTAGCATGTATATTACATTCGTAAATTATTTGTCTGACGATTTCAGTAAACTTAATTCTGCGAAAAAAGGTTAGTGCAAATAGTAAAGTCTTAGTAATGCGGAACTATTTGATGTTCATTATTTCATAATATAATGTATTTTATACTGTTGAAAATTGCCTGCTAATTTTTATTTGTAGTTTAACACGTTTTTAGTAATTTACGTAATTTAATAACTATGTCATACGTTAACATTATAATATAAGTTTATGCATATCAGTCTATTAGAATTGAATGTAATTTTTGCTTTTGGACCATTAACATTTGTGGCAGCTGAAGCTGGGAATTGAACTTATTTTACTGTGAAATTTGTTTAGAATTTTTTGAATTTTTGGGGTATATTTCTAAATAGAGCACCCGGCTTTCAACTTCAGCTGGACAATATTTAACCTGTGGAAATGTAACAGTAATGAACAAAAAAAATAACTACCAACCATTAAAAAAAAAGATGTATAAAGTTCGCAGAATGAATTTATTGATATTCATCGAATTTAGCATTCAGCGAAGAGTTGATTTTTTAGAATTTAGCATATTTTACATTTAATAAAGGTTTTAGCACTTAGAGCGCATTTAATTATTTTCGCGTTAACTTTGATAGTCACCTTGACTGACTCTCGGACAAAATTCTCGTGTATATTTAGGATCATATACTAATAAAAATGCCAAACTTTTTGACGGTGATCACCAGTCCATTTTTCATCATAAGTAGAGTTTCGTATACGTATTCGTTATTCGAATAATATTCGTATTCAGCGAATATTTTATTCGAATAATATTCGTATTCAGCGAATATTTTATTCGAATAATTTTTATTATTCATCAGTCATTGGCTGGTTCACATATGTTTGACTATATATTGGCTGCACCGCATCTAAAAACTGTTATTCGAATACGTACGTATGTACTTATCAGTTAAATATTTCGAATAACGATAAATATTTGCTTGATTAGTGTGATTAATCAAATTATTCAAAAAAATTTAGCATGCAAAAATTTTTAAAGGGAAACGAGCCGGCATTACAGCGATTTTCATAATTTCTGGAACACCTGATAAATGATTGTTCGGTCAAGTTATTGATTTCGGCACGTATATAACATTGTAATTTGAAATTTATAGGTTTTCGCACAAATTAAACAAACTAAACATATTGGGCAAGTATTCAAATGAAAATTTAACAATATAAACGTGTCGACATTGATAATGTTAAAATTATATGTAAAACAAATATCATGTCTTTTATAAGTATATAGGATAGAAATTTGCGTAATTTTTACATGTAAGTTTTGACATACAATTCTTGCATATTTCGAATTCATAAATTATATATATATTAGTGATACAAATCGATGAAAATTTTTCAATCGATTAGTTGATAGATCATTTTATCCAACTAATCGATTAATCGATTTTTATTCAACTAATCGATTAGTTGGCCAATCTACTAATCGATTAATCGATTAGTTGAATAAATATTGGTAAAATGCACGTAAGGTAGCAACTGAAACAGCCGGTTAATATACTTATATGATCGGTTGATTTATTGAGGTTTGCAAAATTATGTGAAATTTGAAGATCATTAAAAAAAAAAGTTAATCACGATTTCTGATTACTGATTTCCGATTTCTTCAACATTTTTTTGACTTTTAGATCAGACAAAATTTTGTGCAGTTATTATTTTGTAAAAATTTTATTATTTTTATGGAAATAAAAGTTGCATACTCATCATT